AGCAGCTCGAATACATATAAGTATATTAAATTATTAATTCCGATATTATAAACAAGCTAAAAATGATTCAAATAAAAACATTATTATTATTGACATATTCTATGAAGGATCAAAATCGAAAATTTCAACTTTGAACCTATAAGCTGTCTATAGATTTGTCTTAATAATGTGACACTGGGCATATAAAAATTATGGCGAATTTTCCAAATTTCTTTTTTGCGGGCCAGAGCCCAAATGGCTTGTATCCTTGGAAGTTTTGCGATACTGCTATATACAGTTAAATAGTATGCTTAGGAAACACCTGTCGGTGTTGAATGTCATACAAATTTCAAATAACACAGCTGTTTTCTTGTTTGGGGATGGTGTGCCCTTGGGACTGAACCGAAAGGTGCCATTTTGTTGTTCGTCTCAAACAGAATATGTTAATATGAATACGTCAATAGAAAAGAAAGAAAGAAGGATAGAATCAGTCTAGTAGAATCAATTTTCTCGGTACGCTAAAAACCTCGTTACCAATGGCAAGTAACAGTACAGAATTCTGTTTGATCCAATACGGATACGGTTGTTTGCAGAGGTTCAGCGTAGTCGATATTCCCTTTGATTCCCGCAAACACACGGCTACAATACGAACATGCACCTACCTGCCAGGAAACAATATCCGGGAGAAATCTCGGAAGTCCGGTGTACCGACAAATGACAATTACCAAGATTGTTATCCGATAGGAAATATTCATGTGATTTAAACGTCGGTTAATTTATTTTTATTTGCGCTCAGCATTGCTACAGAATGACACCTTAACCTTAAGCGCTATAAATTCACGAGTTTTTAATTAATAAAAATGGAGAAAAATTCGCGGGACATTTAAAATGTCGAAACGCATCGCTATTGGCGTGTCGTCACCATTTGCGACTTGTGACCAGCCAGGTCGCTGTTGATTGGTCGATCCGATTTAAAATGGCAAACCTTTGTTCTCACTGTCATTAATTGTCAACGTCTGATGTTTGATTACCATATTTCGCAAATTTGTGTTAAACTATAAATAACATATATCAGAACCTCATTTACTCTGCGTCAAAATAAACATAAGCGCTGAATCGCAGCTCCTATTTACGTCCGTACCCAGGCATTTACGGCACGCTGGAAAATAGGAGCACGCGAATTCAAACATCACGTGCAGATGTTTGTTTTGACAGAGAATAATACAATACAATTTATTCTCTACAGGGTGACTTCGAAGTTGAGTCATTTATTTTAACAGTGAGTAGATCTGATCAAAAGAAATGTTTTTTTCCTTTAACATTTTTCTGGTAAAATTAAAGTAACAAACTTATAGCCCTTTAGAAGTTTGAGTACCGCCCTGTCTCAATAATAATATTATGTGCTCGTGTTTGGCAACAACGGATATAATCCGCCTTATCGGTTCATCGCATCGGAAATAAAAAAGCGAAAGAATTGTAAACGCTTATCACGATGTTTGTACTACAATGTTATTCAGTTGTATTCAGTCAATGTGTCAGTCGGTAACCCGTGAGTGAATAGTGGTGTTTGTAGCGTGGCTCAAACGAAATAAAAAATGGCACATGTATACGAAAATGCTGAACTTGTGGACATGATTCTTATTTACTGGGGGGGGGTCTTTACAAAATGCTGCCGCAGCATCATGGATTTATGCGGATCGGTTTCCCAATCGAGTGCAACCAACCCCTCGTGCCTTTGTTAATGTAGTACAAAGGGCTCGTGAATCAGGTGACTTAAGACCTCACAGGGAAGGGCATGCCGGTGCTCCAAGACCGCACGATCAAATACAGGTCCGCACTGAAATACTTATCGGGAGGATACTTTATAAAACAAGGTAACATTTTTTTTATTTTTACTCACATATTTGGGTTTATCTTCCTTCTACAATCATTATCTGAAAATTAATGACTCAACTTCAAAGTGAAATAGCTTTGTAGTTACTGACAAAGTCTTCTTTTCAGGTTGCTTTTATCTTATCGACTTATTTGCTGGAATTAAATAAAGCCTTAGTGCCACATACGAGTAAGTGAGATTTTCACTATTATAACCCAGATTTTGGAACAATGTTGATATTCTATTCGCATCTCTATATGCATAACAGGAAGTATATATACAGGGTGTTTCCAGTACGACCCTTACCACTGGGATCTCGGAAACTGTAAGAGATACGCAGTCGTTTAAATTTAGGTAATCAATAAAATGCCGCTTGGAAAGTTTGGAAATTTTTCCGAAGAGAGACGGAAAAAACCGAATTTTGTCAATCGGTTTAATTTTTTCCTGATTCTATTTGTAGTGGGATTTCAAAATGAATTGCACATTAACATTGCCACTTTTTCTCCTCCACAAGATGGCATAATTAGAATTTCAATATGACGTTTCATCTCGTGACGTCTCGCATCAACTTTATTTTTTCTTATAGACGTCATATTGTATTTTTGCACAGATGAATAGAGTTTTTAATTCTGATTTCAAAAATGTACAATGTGTCATAGATTGACATTGCCAAACCTTAATTATTAAAAAAAAACATAATTTCCTAGGTAGGCCTTGAAATTATGAGATATTTTGAACATCTGCTATGATTTACCTCGGGCTTATTTACGATTATTATTGTCATTACCATCAATAAGATGTTCATGTTGTGTTCAGGTTTTACCATATCTTTTTATTCGATTAATTTTCATCCAACAACAAATTCATGGCCAACTAAGAAAATGCATCACTGAATTTAGGTGTGAAAGGTCCATTTAAAGGTACAAAATTCCAATATAGCATCGATATGAAAAACTAAATTGGTATTTTTAGCGTAACAGAGAGAGTTGAAAATTTCAAGATGGTGGCTGCACGCCATTTTGGAATTTTTTTAAATGAAATTATATTTCATTATGAAATTACTTATTAGTGGGTACTTTACATAAACATAAAAGCACTATATTTTATAATGGCGAACTGGCAGGCTGCCAAAGTTGAGCGTTTTTGTACATTGAGACGCTTGTTACTCAAAAAACAATCATCAAAAGTGTACCAGACTCCCGTAACCACAAGAGATATTCTAATAGACAGAATCAGGAATGCATGTGATGAAATAAGGCCTTATTTGAATAATGCTATACCACGTTCGATCATTCGTAGATTTGAATTGTGTATTGAACAACTGGGTTTACATTTTGAGCAACTACTTTAGATTTTGTATGTTTGACCTAACTATCCAATAGCATTTTAGTTGTAAATAATTAATTTAATTTGTTAAAAATAATATTGGAAAATTAAACAAATTAATATTCTGTTTTTTTGTGTTTATTTGGAGTTAGCAATGATTGCTGTGTTTAAAAACACAATCTAAACGATCATCTTAATTACTTGTAATGCCCAAATCGAAAATGTAAAAAAAAATATTATTTTCCCATAAATAATTAAAAATGCATCGAACCTTAAAAATCGAAATATCTCTAAAACGGCTAACTATAACGAAAACTCACAGGAGAGCTTTTTTATGTTGAAAAGTGCGAAGAAACAGTTTTTTTATTCTAAAAGCAAAAAATTGAACTAAGAGAAAATTTTCGGTCATTTTAATACACCACAGGTACAGTAGAGAGCGCCCTCTAGCGGCTACAGTAAAACTATGCCCATGGTTCGTTTTGTCGTACCGAAAAACCCTTGTATACCAATTTTCACTGTTATACATCAAATATTGTTCGAAATATTTAAAATAAACTATTTTAGAAAGTAAATTTAAACACCCTGTATTTCGGAAGCCACGCATTTTTCAACGCATGTTTATATAGACTTTATGGATTAATTTTAAAAGTTCTATCGAATCTTAAAGTTATGCAACAATAAACTGAAACACCCTGTATAATAAGGAGCCTCAAAATAAAATATCACATGTCCTCCCCATTCTATTATTCTTACATTAAAACATAGTTTCGATTTCGTCTTCTCAAATTTCAGCTTGCTAACTTGACCAATTCAAAAAATAAGTAGTGGGGACGAGATATTCTGAAACGCACCTGATAGACAGCTTAACTTTTAACGGTATCATTCACTACTTCCGGTATCAGTGTACTGAAATTTGGAATGATCTGTTTATTCCAATTATCAAAAAATATTCTCAACAAAAACGGGCGCCCATGAACTTTACTATAAATCAAATGCCCCTGTCGTAATTTCACGCAAAGAACGATAGCAAGTAATAACGGTATTGTAAAAAGTGTTGAGGTTAAAAACGGTTGTTTGGAACAAGGTGTTAGCGGTTTAGAATTATTCCTAATTTGATGGCATCCGTGGTAGACTAGTTAAGATCATCAAGAGTCAGAGCACAGAAATGTTCACTCATAGATCACTTTCACATCGCGTATAATGAAAATTGATTGTGAAGCATAGCATAATGTTTCACTAAGCTTAGTGAAACGTTAAAAGGAATACGAATTACCAAAAAGTATAGGATCACCGTCAGAACTAGCGATTGCGTTTTTCCCATGTCCTCAAATGTTGCGAATTGTTGGGAAAGCTCAAGTTATCCTAAAATTGATTACAGGAAACTTCGCGTCACATAGCTTTTTTTAATTTGAGGAAACAATTCTTGCGGTTATTCCCTGTGATAAAAAACATGATTATCGACCTTTTAGTTATACGAGTACGACGGACTCAAATAGCACATCCGAAGAGGTCAAAAGCATCAGAATTTCGAAATGAACATGTTTGCTTCCCATCTCTACAACCATGACCAACCGCAAACAGCGCTGTTTCGTGCTCGTTAGCAACTTATCAGTACGGTATAGGTCTCATTCACAAAACTTTTCGCGATTAAAATACTTCGCCAATTTGATTATTTTCAATTCCGTGTCCGCGGTCTAGTTGGCCGTGAATCCACAATCCAGGCGAATCATCATTTTCTGCGAATTATCAGTCATCCGCGCAACAACCATCAATAGCGAGCTACAAAGTTTGAATCGCAAACCAAAGAATTTTTACAGTTAAACTAATTTTTTAAAAACACCAACCTGGAATCAAACTTGGTACCGTCAGTCAGCGTTCCGGTATAGTGCATCGTCAGCATATCGCCGCTCTTGGACTTCAAGTCGCACACTTCGGGCTTGTACATAACTTCAATCTTGAGTTCATCGGCCACCGCGAAGCCTAAAAGGGCCACAGCACAAACCAAAAACGAGCACCGGAGTTGCATTTTCAGATAGAGTTCGATATGACCTCCTCGCAAAAAGTCTGGCTGTCAACTGAATGAACGGAACAGCGGAACACGCGGCCTGTGACGCGGCGGAATCGCCACGCTACACGCACTATAGCTGTCTCTCTCGCACGCGCTGACGACATACGGCAGAATCATAGTCACCGTCTCTCTCGTACGGACTGGCCAGATACGGCAGAGCCACAGGTCTCGCTGTCATTGGCCGACCGCACGTGAGACGTGTTTAAAATTGCGACGTTGCCAGGGTTGACGGAGAGCGGTGTCATCTTCGCCTTACGACAAGAAAGTTGGCATAGATTATGACAATTAACAGTGGCGGGGTCAAAGCGGATATAGGGGGACAGGGTCCTGCTCCTCTTGAAATACGTATAAATACAATATTTCTTAGCACAGTATATTAAATAGTTAAATACATACACTGACCAGGAAGTATTGACGCGAAATTATGGAAGGTTAATATTTGTTGCATCAAGAAAAGTCATGTCACTCGTTTTCGTTGATTTGACTGTCTGTCCATTTGATGATGAAATTTTGACACAATGTTACTGCTAAGCCAAGTTCAAAAAGGCCTCGCATTTGAAATATGTGAAAAGTTGATTAATAGAAATATTAAACAAATTAAAATGAAAAAAGATAAATGTCGCTTTCATGACGTTTCAGTTGCTCCAAGAATTTTTTTAGTTGTTGGCATCACAGTTCTCATAGAAACCTTTTAGAAAAATTTTACTTATACAGGGTGTCCGCTAAATGACGCTACAAAAAATAGGGACGATAATAGGTGAAGGGCAGATCTACAATATACCAAAAAATGACCCTAGTAAACGTGTCACTGTTTTTGAGATATTATTCTTTTTGTCTCTCTTTTTTTTAGTCTTTTGTTGCTGTGCCTAGAAATAACAGGATATATGATTGTTTTTTTGCAAAATATTCTCAGATAGTTGGTCTGCCATTTGAAATATCATTTTCGATAAATACAAGCAGGTGAACTTGACAAACTAATTGCTTCTTCGTAATTTTTATTTTAAAAAACTATTTTGCTCAACTTTGGTATTCAACAATCAAATAAAAATATACTAGACTGCTTCTGCGAAGTACTGCGATAAATTACCTGCTTAATCAGCAACAAAAATTAGATCAAACAGGGAAATTTCTCGATTAAGACAAAAAAAATTAACATCTCAAAAACAGTGAAACTTTTACTAGCATAATTTTTCCGTATGTTGTAGATCTGCCTTTCGAATATCTTCCCAATTTTTTGTCGTACTATTTACCGGTGAGGTATTGTACGATCGAGTTTGAGGTAGAAAATGGGTCGCCTTTAAAGTCACAGTGGTTTCGTCCAGATCGCAGAAACGAAGAACTTTTTGAAGATTTTCTCATATGAACAGAAAAACATACTCAGTGACAGTGACAAGGAAAATAGAATACTCAGTAATAATGATTTTGTTTGAGCGAAAGTTTGTATAGAGTTAGACATAAGCAAGAGGACGTCTTAATTGGATTTTAAGTGACATTTACTTTGTCCATGGAATTCGCTAATAAAATATTGGTCCGCCTTGATTCCAGTCGTCAGGGTATGCTTCTGACGTAATCGCCTTGAGTGGTGCAGACAACGGTCACTCTGGGATCAGGAACAGTATTGTCTTTAGTGATGAGTCTCGATTTTGTTTAGGCATGCACGATGGTCGTGCCAGGGTTAGAAGGCGACGTGGTGAAAGGAGGAATCCACAGTTTTTTGTTGAAAGACATGTTCATCACACTGTTGGAGTTATGGTTTGGGGTGCTATAGCTTATGGTTCCAGGTCACCTTTAATCTTCATCAAAGGTAACATGAACGCGGAGCGTTATATCCACGAAATTCTAGAACCCCATCTTTTACCCTATCTTGACACCCTGGCATATCCAACTTTCCAACAAGATAATGCCCGACCACATGTTGCAAGAGTCGCAATAGACTTCTTTCAACATAATGATGTCACATTGTTACCATGGCCACCAGGATCTCCCGACTTATGCCCAATTGAACACGTGTGGGATATGATGGGTAGGAGATTGCTCAATTTGCAACGTCCTCCTCAGACTCTAGAAGCACTTCGAGAGGAGTTGGTGGTTGCCTGGAATGAGGTACCACAGGAGGACATTGACCACCTGATCAGAAGCATGCCTAGGCGCGTTGGAGAATGCGTAGCACATCAGGGTGCATCCACACATTATTAAAGGTCAAAGGGCTTTAAAGCAGTACAATCATTTTGAAATTTTTATCATTTACTTATTATGCTTCATTAAGTACTTATACAAAATTTTATTAAAATAAAACCATTTAAACTGGGTGTTCGGATTTATATATCACTTAGTATATCTTCTTCTATGCCGCGATCTTTCTGGGGAGGCGACGTAGCTCACACAGGGCATCTGACCTCCAATCTCAGATCCCATCATCCTGGCAAAACTTGCTGATTTAGGTCATTTCCAGATGTTCGCGTATTATGACCCTACCTCCAACCCTGCTTTTTCTAAATAATCCTCAAATGACTGGTGTAAAATATGTAACTTGAGGGTATTGCGGTTCCGGGAATCCGGGGGCGATATACTTACTTAGCGGAAATGTTTGCCATAAGATGGCGCAACGAAGGATCATAATATCACTTAATTAAAAATAATGGCTTTAATTTCAGCTAAAACACACCCACATATTCGCAGCAGCATTTAAACGAAATTAGACTCGACCAAACGGAAATATTTCCTCAGCTATGGTTTTCCCAGTTATTTTTATATACCGGAAAAATTGTGAAGGCAAGCCTTAAATCAAACCTACCGCGACTGCCAGTGCTGGGTCTAGAATGTTTTATGTGAACTAACAAAGTTGCATCGTGTCATTATAGTCTTAAAAAAATGGTTAGCCAGAAAAGTGAGGTTAGTTTTCTAAAATGACAAGTCACGTAAGATAAATCTATTTCTTTATTTTAATTTATTGATTGTCACTAGATTGGCTTCTGTTGTGAACTGTGTAGAAGCTTGTTTCCTAGATAACATCTCAAAACAAAACATCCGGGTTCCCTAGATAATGTCTATACTGTTACCACGTTGTCAGTTCGCAGTTCAGTTTTGCACAATTGAACGAGTCATATGTAACAAAAGAGTCGATCAATCTACGCTCACTTAGATGAGTCGTTTATTTTGAACGACTCGTTCGCGAACAACACATGACTAGTTGACGGATCCCAGATCCCACACATGTGTCACTCGTTGGGGAGTTTTGAAATGTAATAATCACCTGTTATTCAAACAATGTCTAATATAAATTAATATAACCTAGAATGTGTACTCAGTGAAACAAGAAAGTTATTGCAAATTATATTTTTTTGCAGGTTTTAAGTTTACCGGTAGCTTTACGACATATATTTGAGTATTTCTTAATCGCTGTAAATATAAGGTGGATGTTTGTTTAGTTCCTGACCAACCAAAAAATATTTGACTATGGATGTATGGATATCAAAAATCGTGAATGGTTTTGTGAGAATATCAATCGACGGTGCTATAATGGTACTGATGAACGGCATGTAAATGAATGAATGTTCAATATGTATGAAATTTTTGGTCAAGTAGGTGCTTAATGGCTATCTGCAAGAGGTTTATAGGAAAAGATCACACGGTAGGTGTCAGAAATCAGTAAAATTGCATATCAATTGATGAAAATAATGTAAACATGAATACACAATCGACAATATTAAATAAAAACATGAATTTTATTCAAAAATCGAACACTTTTTTAAATTTTGACTAAATAATATGTAATTTCTTAATATTCAATAAGCTGGTGATGTTTAATGACAAGCTGTCATCTCATACTTTGATAGTATTTTGTTTTCAACATTTCATAGCTATTGGTTGCTAAAATTTGTTGATTGGAACTTGAAGCTCATTCGCTGTATTTGACGGACTGATGCCCTATAGGTGGAGAATAACGGACTATTGATTGGACAATCCTGTTGAAATCCACCCTTAGTTTATTAGTATGTATTAGTATTAGTAAAATAAACACAGGTGTGTCGCTTACAACTGTTTATAATTTCATTTAAGTTGGCTTGCATTGCTTACCACTAAGTAACTCACTGTTTATTTCAAAATTATCAAAGTAGCTCAACAGACTGAAAAGGTTAGAGACCACTGCCCTAAGTGAAGAACAATGTGAGCACTTCCACCATTATATTTAGGTTAAGCAGAGCCGATACGCAGGAAGGTGGGACACAAACATGACAGCAGACTACTGCTGGATATTGGAGAGAGGTGAACCGAAGATAAAAATTACAAGAATCAGATTGAACAGGAATTTTGAAGGAAGTAGAAGATATGATAGGTCTTTTTAATTTAGTTTCGTTAGTACAATTTTTGAGTACTACTGTTAGTATTTTAGATAAAAATTCTATTTCATATCCAAGAACGTTTGCATCTTCATGAAAATTGTTAAAAAGCTCAAAGGTATGCATATCCCCAATAAAAATAAATCTCGACGATATGTATTTTATCTCGGTGTTCAAAAAACTGTCAAGTAGGTAAACTCTGTACTTCCCACACAACGAAGTATTTGTTCTGAGAAACGTCAATCAAAAATTATTTCGTAAACATTATTTCACTGTCCTACCGGTAGTGCATCCGGAAACGTCGCCTCTCCCCGAGATACTTAACTCGGCCAGAAGTGGCAGTGCGGGCAGAGCATAGGAAACACTATGCTGTGACCTGGCAGAAATACGTATGATACCTAACCAGTACAACAGAACACTCCGCAGTCGCTTTAAGGACTAATCAGTGTTGCCAGAGCGAAGTTTAAAATATCCGTCACACGTATCGCAAAATTCCGCGACATGCCGCTACGGTCTAAAAATTTAAGGGGGGGAGAGGCTTAAAATAAACAACAAATATATTTTTTACATATTTACTTTTTTTAAAACACTGTCTAAAAACAATACTAAAAATACAAA